TAGATAATATAATAAATAAACTAGAAAAACTAGATTTAGGTAAAACTAAAGAACCTAGTAGATTTAAGAAAACTAAGTGGATCTATACATAATAGATAAAGGAAAATAAATCGTAACGAGTAGTAGTAAATTAGTAGATAATCCTTTATTAAGAGCATTAAGTAGAAAAAAGAATCCGAAACAAGATTAGAATCTTTAATAGATATAGAAAAACAAATAGAAATGTTTAGACAGAATAAACTGAAATTAGTAAAAACTTTAGACATATATAAAAAAAGAAATTTATTTAGTACATCTTTAATATATCAGCATTATGGAGAAAGATATATTTCTTGTACACATGAAGATCAATTTGTATCTCTAGATTTAATAGAAAAAGAATCTTATAAAGAAATCGTTAATAAAAATCTTCAACGGACTCAATTAGAATTAATAATAATAGGAGTAAAAGGACTTCATAGAGAAAATTTAGGAGCTAAAGTATTAGTATGTTTATATGATAGCAGATTCACTGATATAGAACAAGGATTATTAGGAAGCATAGAATTAGATATGAATAATAAAGGCGGAATAGTATATTTTATACCAGACTATTTAGTTAGAACAAAGAATTTCTATAAAGATATTAAAATAGGAATAAAAAGCAAAGGATGTCAAATGAAAAGAGATGAGGATAATTTATTAATTTGCACAGGATTCATAGGAAGACTTAGTCAAAATAGTACTACTTATTATAAATTAGAAAATAATCAAATAATTACAATATTAGGACAAAAAGGTATAAAGGCTATCGCAACAAAGAAATTCTCTTCAGAAACATATGTAGGATTAGACTGGAACTTAGGAAATTTTTTACAAAAACCAATATTAGTACCAGAAAATAATATTATGTACAAAATAGTAATGAAAAGTATTAGATTTGGAAATTATAATTATCAAGCAGAACAGACAGTATAATGAAGAAGAAAATGAAGGAGAATGTGAATATTTTGAAATAGAAGACTACGAAAGTGAAAACGAAATTAATGCCTTAGATGAAGAAAGTGAAGAAAGCGAGGACGATGAAAAAGAATTTGGAAATATAAATATGGAATATTACAGAAATCTTAGAAAAACTAAAAAAAATAGAAACTAGAATGTTAATAGAAAAAGATCAAGTAGATATAGAAACCAAGATGGAAGAAAATAACAAGAGAGCTAAAAGGGAAACAGATTAAGAATTTTTAAAAAGAAAAGAACCCATGAATACAGAATACGATATAGGAGGTAAATATCTTTTTTCCCCTGTAAGAGACTTTAAATGGACTGATAAAACATATAAAAGTTTAGGAAAAAGATAGACGGAAGAAGGATGTAGTTTACCGTTAGCAAGCGATAGAGAATTAATCTTAAAGTTAAATAATTGTAAACCACAACACAGACCTAGTACTATAACCAAATGAAAAAATTCTGTAATTAGAGCATATAACAGTGTACCTATACAAATGACTGTAGATGAAATGTTGGCTTATTTAGAAACTTATTTAAGAAAGACTGCTTTAGATGTATATGTTACAGCAAAAAGACTAAACAAGATGAAATTAGATTAAGAATGGTTGGAGGAGATAATCCTAGAAATTTTACAAGCTTTATTAGAGAATTAATTATAGGATCTCATCCCAATAGATATAACACTTATGAACAAAATAAAACTTTAAAAGACTTAGAAAAATTAAGTATTAGCAATATGAAATACATACAACCATGAAAAATTATAACATCAAATTTGGTTAGTCGTGCCTTTTGGATTAAAAAATGCACCCTCTATTTTTCAAAGAAAGATGAATAATATATTTAATTCACTTCCATTTGTTTGTGTATATATTAATGATATTCTAGTACACAGTAAAAACTATAAAGAAGATATGAAACATCTAGAGATAACCTTAAATAAATTTATAGAAAATGGTTTAATTATAAGTAAAAAAGAATATGAAAATAAATAAACAAAAAATTGAATTTTTATAATTTTAGGAGAGGGAAAGATTCAGTTGCCACCATCTATAGTACAAACAATTTTACATTTTCCAGACAAAATTGAAGAAACTAAGAAATTACAAGCCTTTTTAGGAATATTAAATTATGCTAGACATTTTATTAAACATTTAGGAAGGAAAGTAGGTTCACTGTATAGTAAATTATCTAGTAAAGGACAAATATTTTAATTAATCAGATATTGAATTAGTTAAAAAGATAAAAGCAGAAGTTAAAAATTTACCACCGTTAGATAGTGAATATAAAATAATAGAAATAGATGGATGTGAATTAGGTTCCAAACCAAATAAATATAGTGATAAAAAAGAAGAAAAATTTTGTAAATATGCTAGCGAAAAATACAAGATAAAAGGAAAATATTTAACTAGCTTAGATTATGAAATAATGGCCATCATACATAGTATAGAAAGTTTTAAATTATTTTTAAACACTGAATTTACAATTAGGACAGATTGTGAAATTATAGTAAAATTTATTAAAAAGACATTTTGATAAGATAAGACATAAAAAATGGTTAAAATTATATGAGATATTAAGCAGCTATAAAATTAGTATAGAACATATTGACGGAAAAAATAATATTTTAGCAAATAATTTAAGGAGGCAAGTTATTAATTTTCTAACTCATTATCTTCATGGTACAGATGGATCAGAGGATGATGAACTTTGGAAATGTCACTCTGAGAATGGCCCCTCAAGGATCTAATCTTCTATTTAGAGGAAATAATTTAGAAAGACTACCAGAAATGAAGCGTTTACTGGATAATCTCTGGATGGCACGTGACTCTAAACAAAAATTAGACAGCATTAATGCCCTAGCTAACAATTTTAGACAGATTCATAATCAAGTAGTAAGCAAAAATTTTATTTTTTTGCAGTAATTAAAAGTAGAAAGCCTGGAATATATAATTATTGGCCAAGAAATACTACAACAAGTAGAAAGATTTTTCGACCCCCCTTTTCAAAGGATTTTATACGCTTGAAGAAGTTTTAAATTTTTGTAGAGAAATGATAGGATTTAATTTTCATATCTCCGAAAGAATTAGACAGGCCATGCAAACCCCCTCTCAAGCTTCATCATCATCTTCATCAATATAACTTTGTGATAGTTGTAAAACTATGACCAAAGTTGTTAGAAATTTAAATCTTAGAAAGCATTTTTTAGAAGAAAGACTACAACTCCTCAAAGATCAAATTTCTTCATCCCAACAAACTATTAGTAAATGTCAAAATGAGATTCTTAAATTGCATACTAGTTTAGACAAACTTAGTTCTTCTAAAAATACACTTGAAAAACTCATTTCTAAAGACATCGCCTCTACAAGTAGAAATTATTTTGATAAAATAGAAAGATTTATTGAATTAATAGATTCTACAGCTGTAGGACAGGAAAAGACTTTATATGAATTAGAACAGAAAATTGGTGATTGCGCCAGTATTGTTCGAAGTTCTATAAAGAATTTCGTTGTACAGGAAATTATAGATTTTGCTCAAATTTTAAGTCACTATCATAATGAAAATAGATATTTCCTTAGACATGGTCCCAAATACGATGCAGCCCAAAATTCAGCCTTCCTTAAACACAATTATCCAGCAATTTCCTTTGATTATACAATCTTTGAAGAAGAAGACCTCTTTTACCCAACTTTACAGTTTGATATGATAGATACCATATACATATTAAACAGATCTTTCATATTTTTTCACCAAAATTTAAACAGATTCTTGATCAGTTAAAAGATCATCCCTTAATGGTTCAATTCATTTTCATACCCCCTCGTGTAAATAATGGCATTGTAATTCTAGCTTATCATTGTATTTTAATTTATGAAGGAGCCAAAAGATTTAGACCCTCTTCAAGGACGAATATTAAAATAAAAATTAGATTGATTGATTATGAAAGAAGAATATCAGAAATCGCAGCCATGATGGAAGTTCAAAATAATGATTTCAGATTAGTAGCACAATGGAATAACGGAATTATTTTTTGCCAAGAGCACCTTGCTATGAGAATTAAAGTAGAAAAAATTCTAGTACCAAATATTGAACAAAAGAATTTATATCTGATGGCGTTTCAAGAGACTAATGGAGAATTTACAGAAATCCTATCAGAAACAGAAGTGGAAGCCTATATATCTGATGGCAACGATAATGAGATGAATTCAGAACTATAAAAAAGCCATAGTAGAAATGATGGACAGATAAAAACGAGATAGAAAGATGGAGAAATAATTAGCAAAACAAGGAAGTAAAAAAGAAGAGGCATAAAGATAAAACGTTAAACATATTTCAAAGATCCTCTGCAAAGTTGATTCTCATATTTCAAGAAAAGTCAGGCGTAAAGACAAAAGTTATTAGAAGCATCTTTTCAAATAATTCATTCTTTAATTACTCACATGGAGAATTGCACATTATTTATTTTTCTTTGATTTTTGATTGCACACCTGTAAAGTTTGCACAGTATTCTTCAATTATTGATAGCACACTTACAATACCAATAGAATAGACGTGATATACCAGCGTCTATAAATACACACACCTCTCACAAAAGAAATCATACCGAAAAAAAGTACACTGTCACACTTGTACTCAAAAATCTCTCCACCATCTTTGTAAATTCTAAGACATCCTTATAAATTCAAAGACTTCTTAATTAAAGTAAGTTCTTTTCATATCTTTTCTTATTTATAATTTTCGTTTACTCTAATTAATTTTCGAGCAAGGCCTAAAAGGGGAAACACCAAGTAAGCAATTAATTTATTCACAAATAATATGTTATTTTTGTTTCAAGAATATAATTTTAATACTTTTAGCCTCTTTATTCTGGATTCCATGGTCAAAAGATAAAGTAATTCTCTGAGTTAAGTTGGCTAATTTGTGTCCCAATAGTGGGAGTTTGTTTAAACCTTTTTAAACATGATAAAAATCTTTTTGGCTACAGTCTTAAACTTTCTTTAAAAGGTCAAGAAAAAAGCTAAGAGAAAGTTAAAAAAAATAAAAAAGTATGAAGAAATTAATTTGCTGAACGGTAAAGTATTCAAAGGCCATTATAAACACATATCGTTTTAAAGTTTTAATATTTTATGCCTTTAAATTACACTGCCTTGCTTACTTGTTCATTGGAAAGCTTTAACGAATATATTAATACTTGTTTAGAAAATAGAGAGATACGAAGATTAGTCGTTGTAGGAAGCCATATTTTATTTGCTCTAGATAAAAATAGAGGTGACCCCTCTTTACAGATCAAGAAGCAAATCACTGAACTCTCTATCTCTCAGTGTCAGAGTTTCTTAATAAAAGATCCTAAAGAAAGACAACAACGAGCAAAGATTATAAGAGAAAATAATAAGAGAAATTCCAATAGAACTATTTAGACATTTTTTTAGCAATAGACTTTTAGTAGAAAAAATAATAGAAATATACTTACATACTCTTGGTCGTAGTAATTTAAAGTGCAGACTTTTTAAAACGAATTAATTAAGTGTAGAAAATCTTACCAAATTAGTAGACTTTCTCTATGAAATATTTATTGGTAGGAAGAAATTTGTATTTCAAAATGTGTAAAAAATTTTAGAGAAAAACCTGATTAACAAGTCCTCTTCATATTTATTAGAAAAAGAAATTTTTGAAAAACAAGTCATTTTCATATTAATTAAAGAAATTTTTTTCAAACTTTTGGTAGGAATGTAGGAAGATTTACGTAGAATTGGTATTCAGTATCAATACTTCAACCAATGTGAAGGGAAAGGAAATTCAGGAATTGGTCTAATTCTATCTCCATAATCAATCACTGAAAGGTTGAGAAAATAAAAAAGAACGAACTGCAGCAAAACAGCAAAGAAAGCATACTTGAGTCCACAATGAGATAATTTGTTGTCCTCCTCAAATCAACATTGCCAACTCCAGCCAGCAAAAATCCAGTAATTGTATCCTACATCAACAAGTAATTCATCAGTAAAATATATTACAAGGCAAAGAATAGCAGCAGGATCCACAACGAGATAATTTGATTAATTTATTTTATTGGTCCTTGATAATCTTTACGGTGATTGAATTTTTTAAAAATTGTTTCTGAGAGAAATAGGGAACCAAAAAAATGGGAGGGAGGGGATTAAACTGTACTGGAAAAGCTAGATGAACTTAAATCTAGACACTGACTGATTAACTTTCTCTGCTCATTCAGAAGCAACGATGGTTCAAATGCCTGACCACGGCAAGATCCATTTTTAATTATGACACAACTTATGCTGCACACCGGACAAGTATGCAGGAAATAAGATCCTTGCATCCAATAATCACGTAAAGCATATATGTCCTACTCTCTCAAGACCCTTTTGTAGTATTAAAGGGATTATCCAACTCCTTTTAAATTCTCTTTACTCGACATGTAAAAAATACAACAAAAGGCTCCAATGCAAAAACAAGAAAAATCGTTCCTCCAGACACCCCACCGAAAATTTAAAGATATAATAAGAACAAAATTACTTAAAAAGCCACATCATCTAATAGTTTAATTCATATTTAGATTATCAAACTAATAGCAACAGGAGCTATGTAGAACTAAATGAACAAGGATATAGTGAGAGGTTGCACCAATCATCTAACTCCAATAATGGAAAATGCACTTGCAATTTTAAACAAATAAACAAATTAAATTCTAACTTAGAATATCCAAGTTCAACGACGTCGTGTTGTGTCCTTCAGATAAATTTGCTCCCTCTACGGTTGAAGATCTGAAGCAATTGCCTCCTAAAATAGGACAGACCATTGTTCCAAATTAAATAGCACCACAATGGCAGTGGAACCAATCCAACAGAATTCTAAGTATGTGCTGATCATTGTAGTGACAGAAACTGAGCAAAATTCGTTTGCACAAATTGAGGGAGAAAAATGCTTGAAATAGTTTGTTTAAATGGCAATCAGCAAAGGCCATATCTATAGCCTAAGATGTCGCCATTCGTTCAATTGCCACAACCCTTTCATAGAGTTGCAGTGTTAGAATAAAGAGGTGATATTATTAGATGAAAGGTTATCTATTTTATGAAGAGAAGACTTTTGAGTCAAATATTCACCATTTCAGCTCAATCGACACACTACTTGGGAAACTAGATGAGCAGATCTTCCAACAATCACAAAATTGGAATTTAGATTGAAGTGACAAAATGGTTGGAGCAGCTTCCAGCAGTGGTAAAACCCACGAGTTTAGTATGTCTCGAAACACACGATACCACTCTAATGCTCGAACTCTTCAATTTGAACGACGCATCTGTGTCGACATGACATGTTTATGGATATGTATCCTATGTCAGATCTTTTAATTTAGAATTGGACAAGGTGGAAAGGGAGATCGCAAGGGAAGAAATAGAAGTTGCTTGGAGATATAAAGCAATAAAATTGATTTTGAGGCAAAAACTAAGAATTTGAAAGTATGAAAGCAAGTCCATATAATGTTTCACCCCGTAAAAAATATATCCAAAATTATTAGCATATAATGTTTTTAAAAAAAATTATTTTTGACCCAAGTCCAAATTTGTGTCTTAGTCATATTCGCATTTTCTAAATTTTAGAAGAAAAAGGATCCGATTCCTTGATAAATACTCATAGCCGACGCCCATACCCCGAGCAACATAGTTTGACCAGTACTTAGGCAAGTCTAAATTTTAAATTTGTTGAGAAAATAGGTTCAAACTTTAAAAAAATTCTCATGAAAATTAATACATATTTTGAACCAAACACAAGCCCGTGGTCATGTAGAGCTAAGTCAGAGGGAGATGAAGCTGCATGATGCCCAAACCCACCTTGAAGTCTTCTATTCTCAAAACTGGGTGTGCTTTGAGGCCTGAACCAAATTTGCAAATCATGGATTAATAAATTAATTTGTTTTTCATTTCAACCTATATGGGAATCTATCCTTTCTTTCTTCAATTCCCCTCTTCCTTCTTCTACCCTTGAAAAACACAAATGAATGAAGAAAATCATAGGTATTGAAAATTTGAAGTGCGAAGTGAAATAATTGTTGAATTCATTCTCTCTCCTCTTCATCATTGAAAAAAGGGACAAAGAATAAATTAAGAAATAATTAAAAGAACGGAAAGCATCCAACATTGGTATGAAAAACATGGATTATTAATCTAAAGATTGGGATCGAGTTTGGGCCCCATGGCCCAAAGCATTTGGAAGGGGTCATAACTTTCCCTTAAGGTGAAATTGGACAATTCCCAACATATGCTTGTCATTGCCACCAGCTGACTTTGGCATGAGTACAGGTATATGGGCTAAAATAAATCTCAGCCCCTATTGACAAACTTATTGAGATTATAAGCTAGTAGGTCTCATAAAATGTGTGGTTAAAAGTTGTGAGTCCAATGAAATGTGTGGATAAAAATGAAATTTAAAAAAAAAAAAAAAAAACCTTGTCAAACATGGCTTGTTTTTTATTGGAAATTTATTTTAAAATCTAACCAATTGGCTCAGACAAATTTAAATTCAAAATTGCTATTTGGTCCCAACATAACTATCAATACTCGGACAAATGACCACATCCAAGGTTTTATATAGGGTTTACTAGTTTACCATTTCTTTATACCAATTTTAAAACGATTATTCTCCCACTTTCGTTCAGTACTTCTCCTGAAAATTGCCCAAAGACATTTTTCTCAAGTTCAGTTTATCTACTCAAGAAGTTTTGTTTGCCGGTTTACACATGATTGAAGGGATTGATTCTATACAAATGAAAAATCTGTTCTACTTTGAAAGAGAATTGCTAAAGATAGTCAATAAAAGAGAGCAAATTTGGCTTGAGGAAACAAAGTGGTGCCATTAGACTCCGATATCTGCAAGTTTTCTCAAGGCCTATTGAATTCACTGCCACATGGGGATACCATATCTATTCAACATATGGAGGGTACTTTGAGGACTTGGTACCTCTTAGAACCTCAACCAGCCTACTCGGTCTTATATGGATACGCGTGAAGGAGTGCTCCTAGATGTGCATGGGGATTATGTACCACTTACTCGTGAACTATACGGTTCACGCTTCTTGTGATGCCTTTTATTCTTGACAGTAATCTCCTAGAAAAACCACCAAACCCCTACCCTTCGCCCCTTATTTTCTCTATTTATTTTGCAGTTCTATGATAGGGCCAACACAGTATAAACGACCCATCATACAGTGACTAAAGTTTGGCATCCAATTTGAAGTGAAGCAGATATAATTGGTGAAGCAGCCTTCTTATAAGTGACTAAAAATATACTAGAAGTGGCAACAGCATCATAACAATGGAGTTAACATTCCCATACATAAATTTCGCTCGGAATCACAAAATAAGTAAAAAGATACGATCGTAACCTCATCAGCGATCATGGCGATGAGTGCTGAGCTGGTTGTGCGGATCGGAACTCTGTTCGCCATTTATCGAAAAATTTCAAAGAAAACAACTGCAAAAATTGCAAAACAATAAATAATCATAATAAAATCAATCCAGATATGACCAATCAAGCAAAACCACAAGAAATTCAAATGAAAAAAGAAAATTAATCGGAACAGTATTTTTTTTATTCGTTTTAGAATTTCTCATAAATATTAATTTGAGTATACCTGATGTTTCGGCTTCAGCAGAAGAAAGTGAATTGAGACGCGATCGCGAATTAAGTTATTATGATGAGAATTATTACACCGAAAAGCGTTTACGCTTAACCCCTCCAAGGAAGACACGATTTACTGTTCTCCCCAGACCTTAAAAATGGTTGGCTGGCTAAACTTAAGTAGGTCGGCTCGGCGGCCCTTAATCGGTTCGTCCAAATTTATTTTTATTTTTTTAAGAGTTTTACAAATAAATAAAATAATATAAAACACTTTTAAAAAAATAAAACGTGTTAAAAAATATAAATAATTTAACGAAAATATTTTTTTATTTTTTATTTATATCATATTGTAATACTTTTTATAAAGTATAAAATATTTATATAATGAAAACGAACTATTTTTTGAAATACATTTATAAAAAATATATTTTTTTGATTTCTTTTTAAAGTAGATAAAATGTAAATCCTCCTCCTTTATCTGGGTTTGAGATCGGCTACATCAATTTTAAGTAGGCAGAGTTAAAAATTGTAAACGAATAATTTGTCGTAACGTGTACAATTTTTTTAAAAAAAGATTAAATTTAACGATTAAAAAATAAAGAAATTTTGATTAATATAATTAAATCAAATATCACTTACCTGACGACATGCAATTTCGACGTATTTATCTTGTAGTTGAAAATAAGCGTCCTGTCAATCCTTCACGCACATTAACACTTCCAAAATATTTTCTTTTAGTCGGCTCCTGACATCGGTCAAAATCTTTTTACCTACACTAAAAGCAGACTCCGAAACAACGGTGCTCATCGAAGGTCTCAGCAGATCTTTCGCAATTGCAGAAACAATTGCCTAACGTCTTTCATACTTTCACCAAAATTCAATTATTTCTTCTGAACATTTTTTAATTGTTTTATCCTGTTGACATATTATGATTGAAATAATCAATTAATTTGGCAGGCGTCGCATTTTGAGTTTCTAGCGATGTTTGATGAGATACAAATGTAGACGACATAACACAAGATGAATACATTGCAGTTGCATCATATCTAAATGTATTAATGCCTTGAAATAAATTTGACATTGTCTTCTTCAATTTCCACAGAAGGAGTAGGTGCAAATGGTACCCGACTAACATTCGCACCCAATCTTTTCGCATATAAATCATACATTCCTCATAATGTTTGCTCTAAATTTTTATAGGTGATAGGTGTATCAAGTATTAAAACTTTATTGATTTGATCAATTACGTATTTAGCTCCCGAAATATTATATTGGGGGTCCATTGCGCATGTTAAAGGAAATAACATAGGCAGTTCTTCCCAACATTTTCTAAACTTTAATTTTATAGCAATTATAATTTCACTAAAAGTATGATCATTTTTATAATTATAGAATGTTTTTGCAATTATATAAAGGCATTCAAATACCATACAACTTGTGGGATAATAAACGCCGGATAAAATTTTTGTGGTCTCATAAAAAGATGTCAAAAATCGTTTAACTTTCAAAAGTGAAATCCAATCGGATTCATTTAACATACCATCGTCATCACTTCTAACGTGTCTATTGTTATAAAAGTCAGTTATTAAATTTTCGAAACATTCACATGACTTTAATAGCAAGTAAGTAGAGTTTCATCTATGACCTACATCGCTAACAAATGTTTTAGCAGTCGTCACCCTTAGTTCGACACAAAAATCTCCAAATACTTATTTTCTACTAGGAGAGATCGTAATACATACTAATGTATTATTAATCATTTGAAATTCATTATTTATATGTTTAAAACCATATTGCACAATTAAATTCAAAATATGACACACTAAACGAATATGAAACAAATACCCATCAAAATCAGGTTGAAATGTCCTACACAACTTATCGACGACTACCTTATTAACACTAGCATTATCAAAAGTAAAATACCGAATTTTAGTCTCGCAATGATATTCTCTAACAATACTGATAACAGCATTATATATGTTATTAGTATTGTGAAGAAACTCAATAATTCTAAACGTAATAATTTTCTTATGCATACACCAAAGTGAGTCTATATAGTGTGCATTTGCAGTTATATATGCTCTTTTATTAACCGCTTCCCATATATCAGAAGTTAAAGATATAACACCCCTATATTGTTGCAAATCCATAATTAATTATTTGTTTAAATTATTGAAATAATTTATTGTATCGGCACGAAGAGCGTTTCGACTTACCCCAACGTACCTCGATTGTAGATATTTTTTCACGAACGAGACGAAGTGTTGGTTGTCTGCAATAGCCAGAGGCAACTCAGTGGCAGCAACAAATTTCACCATTCCGGTTCGAGTATTGTCCTCCGAATACACCCACTTGGATAGGGGTGAAGTTGTAGAACCGATGGCTGGACTGCTAAATTGTAATTGTGTTTGACCAGTTGGAAGAAGTCCATGTCTAGCTGCACATACTTTGTAGTGGCGGTTGAGATGGGTGGTACCAATTCCTTTTTGTCATTCCAATCCTTGTTGGCAGTATTTACATACTGTTTTAGATTCTACAAGGCCATCGACGACTTTTTTCGTTGAAATCAACTTAAAGTGATCCCAACATTTGCTTTTTTTTTTTGCCTTTCGCTTTCCCCTCGCATCTAGGATGTTTAATTTAACATCTTTATCCTCATGTTTCGCTTCGGGAACATTAATATCATCCAAATCAATTGAATTGTGGCTTCCCTGACCGTGAATGAGAATATCTTCAGGTATCGATAGGTCATTTAGACCGAAAAATTCTTTTGAAAATTAACTTTGCGGCGTCCTAAGCGATTCGTCATGTTGTGGCCCATATCATGTATCGAACAAGCTCTCAACAAATGACGTTGATCCATTTGTTTGATTGTTTATGATGAAACCTTAACTAGAAGAATATAAATGTAGTGAGATTGTGAGAATTGAGATTTAGATGAATTGAAATTGTAACTAATAAACTGTAAAAATTGAATTGATATTGTATATTTTGCAGCACAAGAGAGTAAAAACTCAATAATTGATATAATAAAAGAGAGTTGAAGACTTAGAGTAGCAATTGATATGAAAAAAATAAAGGCGAAAAGGTGTATTTATAGTGGCGAGGAAAAATAGAATCTAGTCCTATGATGTTGCATATTTATATCCATATTCAGGCCCGCTCGGCTCGTGCTCGAGCTCGTGATTTTACGAGCTCGAGCCGCCCACGAGCCCCTTTTTCACGAGCCGAGCCGACGAGGCTCAATTGTCATCCCTAATGATGTTGCATATTTATATCCATATTCAGGCCCGCTCGGCTCGTGCTCGAGCTCGTGATTTTACGAGCTCGAGCCGCCTACGAGCCCCTTTTTCACGAGCCGAGCCGACGAGGCTCAATTGTCATCCCTAATGATGTTGCATATTTATATCCATATTCACAAATTATCAAATCCAATCTGCCACTGACACTGTAAATTGCCACTTGAAACACTGCTATCCATGCATGGGGGACAAACGCTCCATTAAAATTTGCATGGGGGACAAACGCTCCATTAAAATTTGCATGGGGACAAACATTCCATTAAAATTTGCCACGTAAAACTCCATTAAAATTTGCATGGGGACAATCACTCCATTAAAATTTGCCTGGGGACAAACACTCCATTAAAATTTGCCACGTGAAACACTGCTATAAAATTAATTGCTAGTAGACTTTTTATTACCAAATTTATTGCTGGAAAAAATTTGGTTTTCAAAGTGTGTAAATTATTTAAAGGCTTTTTGCTACAAGTCTTTTTTTTACAAGACTTTCTTTTTCTTAATTGTCATTTTCCTACAATAAAATTTTTCTACAAATATTTATTCCTAGGAAAGAAAAAATTCAAAGCGTGTATAAATTATAAATACCTTTTGCTACAAGATTTTTTCTTACAAAACATTTATTACAAAGACTTTCAAAATGTGTTTCGAGACTTTCTTAGTTGTCATTTTACTACAAAGTCTTTTTCTTATACAAAAAATGGATATCAGAGCCTAGAATAGTCAAAAATTATATAGTTTATGAAAAGAATCGAGTATTTAAATTTAAAAATTTTAGGAAACTATAAAAAAAAAGATAACTTAGAAGCAACTTCTCTAATCTGTAATTTGGATAATAAGTTTAGATACTTTATATAGTGAAGATAAACAGTTAAATAGTATTGTAAACTTACTTATAAATAGAGGGACAAAATTTAGAAAGGAACTATTCAAATAAAAGAGTAGAACATTATTAGAAAATATAAAAATTTTAAAAACTAATCTATAACATATTAAAAATAAAATATCGAAATATTAAAAAAAAATAATTTAATAACATAGGAAAAATAGAATCTAGTCCTATGATGTTGCATATTTATATCCATATTCACAAATTATCAAATCCAATCTGCCACTGACAATGTAAGTTGCCACGTGAAACACTGCTATGCTATCACGGGGACAAACACTCCATTAAAATTTGCACGGGGACAAACACTCCATTAAAATTTGCCACGTGAAACACTGCTATAAAATTAATTGCTAGTAGACTTTTAATTATCAAATTTATTGCTAGGAAAATTTTGGTTTTCAAAGTGTGTAAATTATTTAAAGGCTTTTTGCTACAAGTCTTTTTTTCACAAGACTTTCTTTTTCTTAATTGTCATTTTCCTACAAGAAAATTTTTCTACAAATATTTATTCCTAGGAAAGAAAAAGTTCAAAGCGTGTATAAATTATAAATACCTTTTGCTACAAGATTTTTTCTTACAAAACATTTATTACAAAGACTTTCAAAATGTGTTTCGAGACTTTCTTAGTTGTCATTTTACTACAAAGTCTTTTTCTTGTACAAAAAATGGGTATCAGAGCCTAGAATAGTCAAAAATTATATAGTTTATGAAAAGAATCGAGTATTTAAATTTAGAAATTTTAGGAAACTATAAAAGAAAAGATAACTTAGAAGCAACTTCTCTAATCTGTAATTTGGATAATAAGTTTAGACATACTTTACATAGTGAAGATAAACAGTTAAATAGTATTGTAAACTTACTTATAAATAGAGGGAGAAAATTTAGAAAGGAACTATTCAAATAAAAGAGTAGAACATTATTAGAAAATATAAAAATTTTAAAAACTAATCTAGAACATATTAAAAATAAAATATCAAAATATTAAAAAAAAAATTAATAACATAGGAGAAATAGAATCTAGTCCTATGATGTTTAGGGTTGGCAATGGCTCGGCCCTTAATGCCACGAGCTCGGCTCTGAAGATAAACAGTTAAATAGTATTGTAAACTTACTTATAAATAGAGGGAGAAAATTTAGAAAGGAACTATTCAAATAAAAGAGTAGAACATTATTAGAAAATATAAAAATTTTAAAAACTAATCTAGAACATATTAAAAATAAAATATCAAAATATTAAAAAAAAAATTAATAACATAGGAGAAATAGAATCTAGTCCTATGATGTTTAGGGTTGGCAATGGCTCGGCCCTTAATGCCACGAGCTCGGCTCGTGGATAACATCGGAAATGTAAACAACTTGGAAAAATCACTGGCTCAAATATTGCCACAATTTTATCCTTTCGCTGGAAGATATATCAAGAAGAATCACGTCGTTGATTGTAGAGATCAGGGTGCTGAATACATAGAAGCTAAAGTCGATTGCGATCTTGTGGATGTTATAGGCTCAGGAGTCCAGCCCGTGGTGTTAAATGATCTTCTTCCAGTCGAAGTTGGTGCAGCTGATGAAGCCACTGATCCAGTTATGTCTATTCAAATGAACAAATTTAAATGTGGTGGAGTAACCGTTGCTGCGGCTATTTCACATAGGATTATTGATGCATCCTCACTTGGCATATTCTTTTCTGCATGGGCAAAGGTGAGTCGAGGAGACAACAGTATCGAACCCATCATTCCAAATTTTGACTCCCCATTGTACTTTCCTGGCGAAAATTTAGGTGGGCTTGATTTTGGAACCATAAGGACTAGGGATCCTACCCTTGTGACCAAAAGGATTTTGTTCGACAGGAAGGTAATAGCAAATCTAAGAGCTAGAGTGAACCACTTGTATGAAAGAAGTGATCGTCCAGCCTCGAGGGTTCTGGTTGTCTCTTCCTTCTTGTCAGAGGCTCTCATGCGTTGTGATCGCGTAAAACTTGGAAAATCGCGGGCTTGTCTCATAGCACAGGCAGTTAACATTCGCGAAAGGACAGTTCCACCTCTGTCAAAATATTCTTGTGGAAACTTAGTGTCACTGGGATTGCTGGAATGCCGTGCAGAAGAAACCGAGAGTTTGGACTTTGAACACTTGGTTCCTCTATTGAGTAATGTTACCAAGAAAGCCGTTTTAGACTGTTCCAAGATCTTGTCAAATGGTAAGGATGGACACAAAATCCTCGTTGATGTCTTTGCAGGTGCAACTGAAAAATCACATGATGAAAACTTGAATTGTTTATGGTTTACTGACTGGTCTAAGTTCGGATTTTACGACAACGATTTTGGCTTTGGAAAACCTATTTGGACAAGTGTTGCAAATATTCCAATCAAAAACCTTATCATAATTTTGAATACCAAAGAGAACGATGGAATTGAAGCATGGGTGCATTTACATGAGAAAGACATGCCTTATTTCGAACAAGACGAAGAAATAAAAAAGTTAACTACTTAAAGTTTGGAAAAACCATCAATTGTCAGGGTCAAATAAAGTGTTGTGTGTTTTATTTCTACTGAAATAAGTGTCTTGGATTATGCTGAATCTTGTTTGCTACTAATGTTTGTGTTTGATGGCTTTGTATCAATAATAATGTTATTGAAGTTTCTGTGTCATTATTTTGCCTTTTACTTTTAATGCAAATTGTTTATAATTATAATTGTTGCATTCGAATGTTTCCCCAGTTTATCCATTCGTTGTGATTATATATCGCTAAATATTGACATTTATTAGTAAATTTTATCTCAGTACGCTAAAAGTGACATGATTTATAATTGATGTATCTGCATTTACTAATAAAAACTGATATGCTGAAATGTGAAAAAGAATATGGACTGGACATCGATCATGCAAAAGATAGTCAAAGTAAGAATAATAAATCTGACCCTCCTGCTACGTTTTGTCGTCGAACAAAATCTTGATTTTATCCAAACCTGCTAAAATTTGTATCAAATCTCATTCCCAAAATGTATCAAGTTCTATATAAAAGTATCTCTTAGTATTTCCTTTATTTGAATTCTTGAAAAAGTCATTCACTTCTATATTTTGAGTATGTAACAACCTAATTTTTAATTACTATGCTTAAGTTTTAATTATAGGATTTAATAAAGAAAAACATATTTAAAGGAAAAGAAGGAAAAAATGCAAAGGAAATATTTATGTATATGTAAAATGGCACGGGCATGAGCATGGGAATGGGCAGGGACCAACTTCACATAAGTAAAACTCTTGCTCTAATCGATGATTTTTGTTACGTGTTGTCATACTTGGCCAACCGATGTGGGCCTATGGCCCACTCAATTCGAACCACGTGGCACTCTAGCCAAAGTGGGTTGAATGGCTGAGGCCCATATGCCAAAGCTAGTGAAACTAACTGAGCCTCATCTGCCGATGCCTGCGAAGATTGCCGAAGCCCTACAGCGGAAGTACTACGTGTCTGGCAGAAGCCTTGAATCTGAAGCAGAAGCCTCCGAACCATGAATGGACGTCTTCCATGGTCGCTTCTCCCAAGAGATCTCCTACATAAGGATCTGGTTAGAATGATTGATGGAACGTTTGTCATAAGTGCATATGTCAGGTCTTATCACTAGTATGGGGGCTCTGCACAAGCAATAAATGCGCATCAAGCTAGCAAGTCAAGAGTGATACCTAGAATTGGATGTGTGAATTAAGAAGATGAGGCCACGTGTCACCTCATCTAAGGGCTATCATTTCACATGTAACACTATAAATACTTCCCTTGTACAACATTGAAAGGCTAATGCAAGAATCAATACAAGAAACCACATTTTTACTCTCTCTTATTATCTTTACAACATAATACGTGTTCATACACATTTACATTCACTTTCATGAGCACCGACTAGTAATTATTGTACAATCGGATTACGAATATCCCGCCAGATTTCGAACATTCTCGTCCCGCATCGTTGAGCTACTCCCATGCCCCTAAAGAGGTTCGTTCCAGACCGTCCATGTGTCTTAGCGTGTAGGACCTTCGCTCACGTGTGCGCGGGTGGGTCCGGCATCTGTTGGCAACATTTTCTGGGGTCAACAGATTGGCGCCATCTGTGGGAAATCATACCATAACCACGAACAAACCTTGTGGCGAAAGCTTATTGAAGAGCATATGGGCGTCCCCCTTGAAAAATGATTTGTTCTTGAAAAAGAACAAGAGGAAGCCCCACAACTTAGCAAAATCTGGAGTCAAACTAAAAGAAAATGAGTTCAAATGAAGACACACCCCCAGAAGAGTAAGAGAAAATGTAAATGTGTCTCTTCCATCCGCTGCCCCAGTAGCTCAGCAAAGAATCCACCACCACCAAAGAAGAGGAAGAATGCAGGCAACGGCACGACTGTCAAGAGAAATGGCTGCCATGGCGGCCAATATGAGAGATATTGCTAGTCAAAACTTAGCTGTGGGGGAGCTCATGGCCCAAATGCAGGGCCAGGGAGGCTTTCCCATTCCTCCGTACGCTCCTCAGGGCACTACCAGCAAGAAGACGAAATTCAAAGTCGTAGAACTGCCTCGCCGAATTATAGCCGAGGTAGAAGCCCGTTTGAAAGGGAAGTGGAAGTTGATGTTTCCTCCAACTACGCTTCTAGCCAACCCACCGAGATCCCATTGAACCATGATAACTTCCCACCTCCATATGAGCAAGAGTCAAGACATACGAGGACAGGCAGTGTATTTGACAGAATTAGCCCCACTGAACCGAGGCTTAGGCAACAGCAGACACACTAGCCTTGGACAAGGCCATAGCCTCCACCTCCGATGCCCCAGCAGCCAGAAGAAAGGCATGAAAATATCCCCCGTGTTGCTCCGCCTAGAAATAGGCACCAGAGGAGAGAGGAAGAGGCTAGGAACCATCCCGGAACCTCTCACCAACTACCACGGCAAGAGGGCGAGGAATATGATTCAGATGAACATCAGAGGTCCTGTGACTTGGACGATGACGATGAGAATCTCTTGTTCTCAAGGAAACTAGGGAATGTCGAGGTTCCAAGCCACTATGTGATGCCAAAGATACCAAAGTATGACGGAAGAGACGACCCGGAGAAGCACCTGAATGCTTATAAAACCTACATGAGCCTCAAGGGCGCCACCCCAGCTGTGAAGTGCAGAGCTTTCCATTTAACACTTAGGAGAGCGGCTGAAATATGGTATAGCAGGTTACCACCTGGGAGCATAAGAAGCTGGCCCGAGTTCAAGACAACATTCTTGAAGAGGCTTGCGGTAAGCAAAGAAGGAGAGGCCCCCATCCAACGTCTCCAAGACATGAGACAAGCGCATGGGGAGTCCCTAAAGAGCTTCATATATCGGTTCACCGATGAAATGACATATTGCATACAAGTCATTGACCGTGAAGCACTATCCACATTAAGAGGAGGTTTGAACATGAATACCCTATTCTGGAGGGACGTGCAGAATCAAGATCCCACCACCTATGATGCCCTACTCGAGATGATGAGGCAGAAAATCATCGATGAAGAATTGATTGAGCATAGGAACAGGGTAAGTCGAGGCCTCCCACATCGTCAAAGGCAGCGTGCTAGAGGGCCGACCTCCCACATGATGGACTACCAAATGAACCAGGCTGAAAATGAGAGTTCTGACCAAGCACGTACCCCCACTACTTTGAACGCGGTTCCTACCTAGGCATATGAGGATATCAACCCAACTACTAACACCCAGCAGACGGAAACCCCACAAGGATCCCGTAGGGAGAGAGGCCGAGGCCAGGGTTCAAGACCTAGAAATAGGTTAAATCAGAACCCGCCGGGATACTATGTACACCATCGGTCCTATGGACATGACACAGCGGGTTGCCGAGACTATGCGTGCCGCTCCCGGCTGGAACCCCCTAGGGACAAAAATGAATCGCTCCAGGCGAATAGGCCCCCGCCCGGGCATGACAATCGACGTGGGCATGAGGAGGTTGCTCCCCGTCAAAGGGATGTTTCCCTACGACGGAGGGAGCATGAGATAGAGAGATCTAGGGAAGGCGCAGGCACAGAAGAAATCTACAAGCCCAGGATGAGGCCCCTATCCACGAGATAGACACCATATCTGGAGGTCCATATGTCGGTGGTGAGACACGAAACGCCAAAAAGAATTACGCCCGGGAAGCTAAACACCCCCCTTTGACAAGCTACATTGTGGACAACAGCTCCCGAAGGAACCAAGTTTCACCCATTGTCTTCACTAAGGAAGACGCCGAAGAAGTTCACTATCCCCATTGCGATGCACTTGTTGTGAGGGCCGTCATAGACCAAAATGGGCTCAAGCGAATGTTAATTGACAACGGTAGCTCTGTCAACATTCTATTCGGATCCGCCTTTGACAAGATGATATTGGATCATCAGTTGACACTCACTACAACTCCTCTGTATGGATTCACAGGAGATAGCATCACTCTAAAGGGAAAGATAACGCTTGCAGTGAAGATGGGAGAGTCTCTCCAAACTACGATGAACTTCATGGAGTTCTTCATTGTCGATAATCAATCGACTTACCATGGAGTATTAGGTAGGCCAGCCCTAAAGGAATTGGGAGCAGTCTCCTCCATCCACCACCTGTGCATGAAATTCTCGACGGAAAATGGGGTAGCAACGGTGAGAGGTGACCAAAGAGGGTCGAGAGAGTGTTATCTAAGCTCCATAAAAAAGGTAGAGCCCCGGGACGTCCATGTAATCATAGCCGATATAGTCATGGCAGACGTCCCAGGTGATGCTCCAACTGAACCACAAGATATCGATATGATATATGCACCACCCAATTCGGAGGTCTTGGTCATTGACGAGATCGATCCCCGCATAATTGAACACGAACCTCAAGCATTCCCAGTCGGGAACTTGAAAACTTCTTGGTGGACACCCGAGACCCATCCAAGATGCTGAGAGTAGGCAAGGGCTTATCCAACACTTTGAAGGGAAAGATTAAAGGTTTCCTAAATAAGAACCTTGATGTCTTTGCTTTGAAGCATGAGGACATGGTAGGCATAGACCCCAAGGTCAGTTACCACCACCTGAAGGTCGATCCTAAGGTTGCCTCACATAGATAAAAAATAAGAGCTCTCAATCCTGAAAGGTACGAGGCTTTGAAGGAAGAGGTTCATAAGCTCATCCAAAACGGCTTTATTAGGGAGGCTACCTATCCGAGGTGGGTCTCCAATCCGGTTTTAGTAAAGAAACACAATGGCAAGTGAAGGATGTGCATCGATTTCACCAACCTCAACAGAGCTTGCTCGAAATATATCTTTTCTCTCCCAAGGATTGACCAACTAGTAGACTCATGGCTGAACACGAGTTGTTGAGCTTCATGGATGCATACTCCGACTACAACCAAATACCCATGCTCTCGGCCAATGAGGAGCACACTTCTTTCATCACAGATCGATGCCTCTATTGTTATAGGATAATGCCCTTCGGGTTGAAAAATGTCGAAGCGACTTATCAAAGGCTCGTCAACAAAATGTTTATAGACCTCATCGGCAAGATGATGTAGGTATACGTGGATGACATGTCAGTAAAAAGTCTGGAGGCTGAATACCACATAACGCACCTCAACAACACATTCTAGATCTTGAGAAGATATAGGATGATGCTCAATCCCCTCAAGTGCGCCTTTGGAGTGGCTTCCGGCAAATTCTTGGGATACATGGTCAATCAACGCAGAATTGAAGCCAACCTGGAGAAGATTGAGGCCCTATACAAGATGAGGTCTCCCCAAAAGCCAAAGGAAGTGCAAAGTTTGACTGGGCGGGTAGCCGCACTCAGCCGCTTCGTCTCCAAAGCTACAGACAAATGCCTCCAATTTTTCAAAATGCTGAAAGCTGGGAAGAAATTCCAATGGAACGAGGAATATGAAGAGGTCTTTCAAGGCCTGAAAAGGCACCTGGGGCAGGCCCCCTCCTCTCCAAGCCGAAGCCCGAAGAGATCCTACAACTATACCTGGTCGTATCAAATGAGGCCATCAGTTCGGTTCTGACTCGAGAAGAAGGAACCACCCAACTTCCAGTTTATTATACAAGTAAAGCACTCCTATCGCCGGAAACCCGTTATCCCGATATGGAGAAGCTCGCTTTGGCCTTGATCAAGGCCTTCAGGAAATTAAGACCCTACTTCCAAGCTCACACCATCCACGTGCTGACAAACTTTCGCCTAAGGCAAGTGCTCCGAAAACTTGATGCCTCAGGAAGATTGTTGAAGTGGGCAGTGGAGCTAAGCGAATTTGACCTCGTGTTCAAGGCTAGGGCAGCCATCAAGGGTCAGGCCTTGGCTGACTTTGTGGCAGAATTCACCAACTTACCCGAGGTAGATGAAATCATGGATCCCGTCGAGCCCCCTACATGGAACTTATTCGTGGATGGGTTGGCCGGAGACACCGACTCAGGAGCTAGAGTGGTCCTCATCAATCCTGAAGGTCACAAGCTAAACTCAACGATGAGGTTCGGGTTCAAGGCCACTAACAATGTAGAAGAATACGAGGCACTACTTGCAGGCCTCAGGCTGGCCAAGGAAATGCAAGTAAAGAGGCTCTTCATAAGTAGTGACTCCCAGCTAGTTATTAACCAAGTAAATGGTAACTTCTTAACCAAGGACAAAACAATGGCCTCCTACCTGAAAATGGTGATGAACCTCATCCCATCTTTTGAAAAATTTGAACTGACCCAGATCCCTTGCATCGAAAATTCTCATGCAGATGCACTATCCAAGCTCACTAGTAGCAAAGATTCAGAACAACTCACGGTAGTACCCATAAAGCACCTCCTCTTACCATCGACCGAGGCCCCCAATGTCATGTGGGTCGTTGAGACCCCTACCTGAATACAGCCAATCGTAGCATACCTTAAAGACCAGGTACTGCCCACTGATAATCATGAGGCCTATAAGCTAAGGAGGAGGTCAGCCCACTTCCTCTCGTTGATGATGTTCTCTATAAGAGGAGCTTCTCCTCCCCACTCTTGAGATGTGTTGGGGGACAAAAGGCTACTTACACATTAAGAGAAGTCCATGAGGGTGTGTGTGACAATAACTCCGGAGGTCTATCTTTAGCGCAAAAAATATTGAGGCAAGGGTACTACTGGCCTACCCTGAAAAGGGACGCCCTCGAGTTTGTACGAAAGTGTGACAAATGCCAATGATTCTCTTCGGTACAAAGACAACTGTCACAAGATTTGACTATGGTCTCCAGCCCTTGGCCTTTCTCGAAGTGGGGTGTGGACTTCATGGGTCTTCTACCTAAAGGTAGAGGAGGTGCAAGCTTTGCGCTTGTGGCCATCGATTACTTTAACAAATGGGTTGAGGTTGAACCACTAGCAAAAATTACAGAAGCAAACACTTCCAAGTTCTTATGAAAGAATATTATATGTTGGTTTGGGATTCCCTACTCAATCGTCTCAGACAATGGTAGACAATTCGACAACAAGAAGGTTAGAGCACTATGCAAGGAACTCGGCATCAAGAAACATTTCTCCACGCCTCACCACCCACAAGCAAATGACCAGGTTGAGGCTGTCAACAAAACAATCAAACAAGTCCCTAAAAGGAAGCTTGATGTGTCAAAGAGGGCCTGGGTGGATGAGCTGCCACAAATACTTTGCGCGATCTGAACCACCACGAGGACCGAAAACACCCTTCCTCATGGCATTTGGAACTGAGGCGATGAGCCCCGTTGAGGTCGGACTCCCGTCTCCAAGACGTCTGCATTTTAGTGAGATGACAAACGATGAGCTTAGGAGGTGCGACCTCAACTTCATTGATGAAAGAATAGATGACTCCCAGTTGTAGCTCGGTACATATCAAAGGAAGATGACGAGGTACTTCAACTCAAAGGTAAAGAAGAGATCATTCTGAATCAACGACCTGGTCCTAAGGAGGCTTTTTCTCTCCTCAAAGGAACCTGATGCCGGTTCCGTGGGTCCGAATTGGAAAGGCCCATATAAAATCAAAGAAGAGATTCGGCTTGAGACTTACTGGATTGAAAACATGAACGGCAAGGCACAACCCCGTCCATGGAATATCAGCACCTCAGAATCTATTACCAATGAATGTATCACCTCGCTGGAAGGTCTTTCCCAGCTCATGTAACATTTCTATGATTCAATAAAATTCATTTGCTTAAAACTGTGTTACATTACATCGTAACCTCGGAAGAGAGGCAAGCGTCCCATCTCTGGGCTTCCTCGCTTAAACTTCGAGGCGCTTGCACATGCCTCGCTTTGCCGAGGCTGAATGCCAAGGGGAGAAGCCTCAACATGGCTGCACCATCCACCATGTTAGGAAGCGTCGTAACCTCGGAAGAGAGGCAATCGTCCCATCTCTGGGCCACCTCGCTTGAACTTAAAGGCGCTTGCACATGCCTCCCTTTGTCGAGGCTGAACGCCAAGGAGAGAAGCCTCAATATGGTTGCACCATCCACCATGTTGAAAAGGGAGGCCAGCGTCCGTTTCTGGGCCACCTCGCCTGAATTCCGAGGCTCATACACTTCGGCGGCAATGATTTATCCTTAAGATCTCTTGAGATTATAGTTATTAAGCTTAAGTACAATTCATTTGCTTAAGTCCCATATTGATCAGAACTCATGAGGCTTTCATACAATTTATTTGTTCAAGTGATTAGAGTTATGATACCCAATTAAAGTTATTTATTTATTCAATCAATGTTACGTTCAATTACTTAGCGAGACCAACACACTTGGAGAAAGAAACAACATTAGATGAAAAAAATATTATATTGATTTTCAATTGAGGTTACAAAAGGAGGGCCTAAGGTCAGTACATCATGAATAACTAAAAGGAAAACTATCCTAAGCCTAAGAAGGTGATAGAGGTGCTTCAGCAGCTGGGGCGTCTGCAGCTTGAGCGTCAGAGTTTGCTTCCTCTGCCTCTGCTACTTCATCTCCCACCGCTTCACCAGCTGGGATTTGAGGCACTTCGTCCACAAATTTCGACCTTAGTTGCGACAGGTCCTTATTTGGGTGCAACTCCTCAGCCCGCTCCATCACCTCGGCATAAGCAAAGTTCCTCCAGTACGTGTTGAAGCTCTGGTACTCCTCAATATTGTGGAAATTGGCAATATAGTCTTTCACTGCCTCTTCCTTTACATTTTGAGCCTCCCCCCTAGCATGGGTTGCATCATCAACGTACCACTTAATTTGGCTCTCAATAAACTTGTATGCATCCTGGGTCCCTGCCAGCTCCAGGTTAGCCTTCTCTAAGGCTTCGGCTATCACCCTCTGGTGGTCATTGGAAACCTCCACCTTCTTTGTCAAGGAAGCTACCTCGCACTGGGACTCATGCACTTCCCTCTTCAACGCCTCTATCTGAGCCAAGGCAGACTCCAGCTTGGCCGATTCTTCAAGTTTTTGGGCCCTGGCATCTTCAGCTTCGGCCCTAGCTGCCTTCAGCTCCTTTGCAAGGGAGGCAACCTTCTTCTCAGAGGACTGGGTCCTCGTCTGAAAGTCAGTAAGAGCCTCCCTGCACTCCAGTGCAAGGCCAAAGGTCCTAACACTTTAGCTCACAAGAGCCCTGGTCAAGTCTGTGGCATCACAGGAGGAGGCGTGCAGTTGCTACCGATCCGTCCAGAATCTATAAAAACTTTCTGTGGCGCTTTGGATCTCAGGTGGCAGAGCCTCCACCAAAGCTGGGGCCAGAGGCTCCTCCCTGCCGGCAAGGAAGCTGGGAGACTTGCCTTGTACTCGAACGAGTTTTTCTTTCGCAGCCTCCTCCTCAGCCACCTCGGCTTGTCTCCTTGTAGCCTCCTCCCTCACCTCATCAGCCTCTGCACGCCTGACCATTTCAATCTTAGCTGCTTTTGAGGCGGCCTCCAGTAGCTTCGGCGATCTGACTTCTTTGCCTTGGGACATAGAACTCCCAAATTTGCCAGGCGAACTGGAGATGTGCACCAACTTCCTCTTCTTCGGCTGCTCAGGGACTTTCTCCTTCCCTCGAGGCTTCTTGGCCTTTTCTTGCCTCTGAGGGGTCCCCTCTTTGGAAGCTCACGAGGTGCTGTCCTTGGAGAGTCGTTCAACTCTACCTCGGACTCCTTCGCACCACTTGACCCCGGCTTCAGGGGCCTCGCCTTCACAGTGGAAGTTGCCCTCAGAATGGACGCCATGTCAGGAGCTGGGTACTCCTTCCTCTTGAACTAATCTGCAGAACACACTGCATCAGTACTAAAATGAAAACACAAAAAATATACAAGTGTAGGAGCTTCATACCCTTGGAGGCCATCAGTTCGAAATCCAAGAAGTAGCGGCTTCTGTCGATGAGGTGGTCGAAGTGGCGAAGCTTCAGAGCTCTCTTGTAAATATCCTCTATCATTTCAAACTCCTCCCTGCTCAACTCAAACCTCGTACTGCAATCTGCAAACGAGGCATCAACAGTTTAGACAAAAAATTAAAGCTAAAAATGAAATGCAAACTACTAGGATGGGAGACTCACGAGCTTCATAGTATTGGGTTGGTATTGTGCAAGATAGGGCTTTGTCTCCCTCCACCGCCTGCCACCTGTCCCTAACCCAGAACCACGACTCCTTCCATCCCTTTATGGAAGAATGCAGCCCCACCACAAAAGGTGCATGGGCCCCCCAGGGAGTCAAGTAATACCACCCCTTGGACTCCTTACCTATTATCTTAGGTTGAAAGAGGGTCATAAAAACGTGGAGAAGCATGTTCTCCCCAAGCGACACTTCTTTCCACAAGAAGTACGAGCCGACCAACTGGCTCCACCCATTTGGCAGAACCTGGGTCGACGACAACATGAAATTTCTCAGCACAGCCCGAAAGAAGGGGTGCAGAGGAAGACGCATGCCTGCCTTAAATAAATATTCACTCACTGCCACGCATCCCGACCTCGGATAACAGGCTCGCTCATAGGCCTCAGGCACCAGTATTTCCACATAATGAGGTACACAGTACCTCTCTCTTATCTCCCCAACCTCTTCGACGTCATATTCGAAGGGACTCTAGACGCCCCCCACTCTACATTGTAATCTACCTCTTCCTTGGTCATAGTAATCTGCTCAACCTCGGAGTCCCCCTATAACTAGACCCCTGACCAAACGACGTGACAGCGACCAACTCCCTACCCGAAGTCGACTCCATCTCAGAAAGCAACTAAGAACACAATAAGAGGATTTTCTATGAAAAATACCTACTGACAAACTACGCGAACACAGTTTGTCGGAAAAACAGTGGACGGAATTGTCTCAACGCCGGAATGCCTAAGCTCTAAGAGGAAAAATCAAATTGCGAGTGCTGAAAAATTCTGAAAATGGGAGTTTTCTCGCCTTTTATAAAGGATCCAGACGAACCCCCACCGTCAGACTGAATCTCATTCAATCTGAACCCTTCAGTTTAAATCAAATCCGAGGCGTAGAATTCAAACAGTTTTTTAAACCTACGCCTCAGATTCAAGCGTGTCCCTCATGCACCTCATCCAATGCGTTTGCTTCTAGAAGCTCTAGCTATTCTAATAATTACGATCTTAATTTGACGGCTGCAGACACTTTGGAAGTCGCAACGGTTCAGCCAGATTTCCTCGAAAGCATGCGCAAAATATCAAATCATTGGCACAACAGTCGAGGCACAATTATTGTCAATGAACCTCGGCTTCATCTCCAACATTCAGCCATCAATCCTCGCAGGTTCGGTTTCCCAACCACCTCGGCCTCATCTTCAACATTCAGCCATCAAGCCTCGCAAGTTCGGTTCCCCAACCACCTCGGCTTCATCTCCAACATTCAGCCATCAACTCTCGCAGGTTCGGTTTCCCAACCACCTTGGCTTCATCTTCAACATTCAGCCATCAAGTCTCGCAGGTTCGATTTCCTAACCACCTCGGCATAATCCTCGGGGTTTTCATCATTCACCCACAACAACACATTTCTAACTCCAATCATGATATAAATATCTATACTTGGACTTGGGGGACTATTATTTGGGTTAAAAAATTATTTCAATCTTTACCCAACCTACTGGCCTTACTTCATTAAAGTTCACGCATTACATAAATGACTATACTTAGACTTGGAGGGACTATTGTTACGTGTTGTCATACTTGGCCAATCGACGTGGGCCTATGGCCCACTCAATCCGAACTACATGGCACTCTAGCCGAAGTTGGCTGAATGGCCGAGGCCCATATGTCGAAGCTAGTGAAACTAATCGAGCCTCATCTGCCGAGGCCTACGAAGATTGCCGAAACCCTACAGTGGAAGTACTACGTGTCTGGCAGAAGCCTTGAATCTGAAGCAGAAGCCTCCAAACCATGAAGGGACGTTTTCCATGGTCACTTCTCCTAAGAGATCTCCTACATAAGGATCTGGTTAGAATGATTGATGGAACGTTTGTCATAAGTGCATATGTCAGGTCTCATCACTAGCATGGGGGCTCTGCACAAGTAATAAATGCGCAGCAAGCTAGCAAGTCAAGAGTGATACCTAGGATTAGATGTTTGAATTGAGAAGATAAGGCCACGTGTCACCTTATCTAAGGGCTGCCATTTCACATGTAACACTATAAATACTTCCCTTGTACAACATTGAAAGGCTAATGCAATAATCAATTCAAGAAACCACATTTTTACTCTCTCTTATTATCTTTACAACATAATACGAGTTCATACACATTTACATTCACTTTCATGAGCATCGATTGGTAATTATTGTACAATCGGATTACGAATATCCCGTCGAATTCCGAACATTCTCGTCCCGCGTAGTTGAGCTACTTCCACGCCCCTAAAGAGGTTCGTTCCAGACCGTCCACGTGTCTTAACGTGTAGGAC